GCCCCGACCAGACGCCGCCAAACTGTACAGGCGGTTTCCGAGCCGGGCGTTCGGCCTCTCTTCTGTCCTCTTCTTCCTCCTGCCTTTATTTCATTCGCTGGTTCTGTACCCACGGCGTGGCTCCGTGGTTGAGCGTCCATCTCTGAACCAGGAGCTCACGGTTCGATTCCTGGCACGTGCCCGGTTGTGGGCTCGATGCCTAGTGTGGGGCGTGCGGGAGGCAGCCGATCAATGATCCTCTCTCATCATTGATGTTTCTATCTCTCCCGCTCCCTTCCTCTCTGAAATCAATAGAAATAAATAATGCCCCACTTGTTCCCCTGCCCCAAGCGGAACCTTTGGGAAGCCGGAACCAATGTGCTGTGCGGCTCCGGCAGTCGGGGGACTGCTTTGGTACGGGACCACCAGCTCTCCCCGGAGGCTCAGTCCAGACAGTTCCGGGGACGCGGGAGTGAAGCCTTCCTCTGCCGACATGCACCGACAGAACTTCCGACCCCCGACTCCTCCTTACCCCGGGCCGGGGGTAGGAGGTTGGAGCAGCGGAAGCAGCTACCGGGGTACCCCGGGCGGAGGCGGGCCGCGGCCTCCTTCCCCTCGGGACGGGTACGGGAGCCCGCATCACACGCCGTCGTTCGGGCCCCGGTGTAGGCCCTATGGGAGCAGCCACTCTCCGCGACACGGCGGCAGCTTCCCCGGGGGCCGGTTCGGGTCTCCGTCCCCTGGCGGCTACCCTGGCTCCTACTCCAGGTCCCCCGCGGGGTCCCAGCAGCAATTCGGCTACTCCCCGGGGCAGCAGGCCCACCCCCAGGTAACACATAGCCAGCGTTGGCGGAGTTCTTACTGTCTGGCAGGCATGGTACCAGTAATCCCTGTCCGTGGATTATTTTTTTTTCGATCCTCTATGAGGTGAGACTATCGCTTGTTAGCCCCTCTTGGCAGACGAATAAACTGAGGCTCAGAGAAGTTAAGTAACGGTCTTTAGGTTCCCCGGGCAAAGCCTTCCCTCTCTAGAGCCCTCGGCTGTCCCCAGTTCTCTCTCCGTTGTCGGAGGTCTCGTCAGCCCGTTTCAGTGCATTTATCCTGAGCCCGGTCTCCAGGCGCCGAGCTCCGACTCCCAGCATAGCGGTGGGCTAGGTTGCAGGGTCATCGCTCCTGCACTCTTTCCCCCCTTTCCTTCCCCGGCTTTGTTTTCGAACCCACTGGCTTCCGCTCCAAGTGTTCTCAGGGGAGGATCGGTGAAGGTGGCCGCTTCCTGTTCCCCTCAGTGAGAGTGCAGGAGAGGGGGCTTCCGGTGGGTGCAGGATTGCTGGTTTACAGCTCGCATGTACTCGATGCATTGCCATCTTTGCTTATGCTAAGTCAACCCCGTCCCTTTAAATCTAGAGCTAATGAAGATGGGCAGGTTCTAGAAATCTTTAAGCTGTAGGGTTTACAAGTTTTAAATCCCCCCCCCCCCAGAAAATAGGGGAATTTTGAGGGGGGAAAAAATTGAAATACAATTGTTTCTTAATTTCACCACCAATTGGTAGTTCTGCAAAGTTAGAAAACCCAAAGTATTTTGAGGTGACAGTGAGCATGGAATTAATAATAAAAGAGCATACCAAATTGGTTTAAATACATTTCAAAAACAAAAACACTAGATTAAATAAAGATGGAGTTTGCAATTGAACATATTTGGCTTCAAAGGCACAACAACTTTAAACTGGCAGTGTGACCCTTACGACCTTTTAAAAAGTACCAGTTATCCCTAGGAAATGTTTTTTTAACTGATGATTTTTTTCCTAAAGGGTTCTCCAAGGACATCTACACCTTTTGGATCAGGTCGTGGTAGAGAAAAAAGAATGTCTAATGAGTTGGAAAGTTATTTCAAACCTTCAATGCTTGAAGACCCTTGGGCTGGCCTAGAACCAGTGTCTGTAGTGGATATAAGCCAACAGTACAGCAATACTCAAACATTCACAGGCAAAAAAGGAAGATACTTTTGTTAACATTTCTGAAATTCAACTGGAAGCTTCATGTGTCAGGAACATCTTGGACAAAACTCACTTGTGTTTTGAACCCTAAATTGAACCCTGACATGGTGACTTTGACTGAATAATTAGTTGAGTCTTCTTGGTATTTTTCATCATGTCAAATATTGTTGGTATTAGAAAAGAAATATGGTAGGATAATTTGCAGTATTTCTCTGAAAGTGCCTACCACATTTTAGAAGATTTACAGTTTCCAACTATTTAACATTCTTGGTTATATAATGGACATTTGTCTTTTAATGTTTTTCCAGTGTTTTAAAATAAAACATTTTGTCTTCCTAGCTATATTGTGGTTTTGTCATATGCTAAAGGAATAGAAGTATTAAATTAATGCTTTGTCATTAGAATTCGTAAGTAAATATTTTGCCTACTACTTTTGAAAATAAATTAATAAACCATCCTTTGAGCTATAGACAGTTCTATATTTGTTCACCTAGGGAAAGAGGGGTCACGGAAGAGAATAAAGGAGAGTTCTGTTCCTGTCTGTTATAACCATTGTTTTATGTGCATATTTTCTGTAATGCTTTTGTTAAAATGCATTGGAACTTGACTGGAAGCCACAGAAACTCAAGCTTAAGTAAAGAGTTTTGAACCCTTACTTAACTGGAAAAGGCAAGAACATACCTATTTCTTGCATAGCTAGGTCAAAGTATTTTGTGTCTGAATGTCTCTACATTACTCAGTATTGTGGAGTCATTTTCTCTTGAGGCTAAGAAAGATGGCTACTGGCAGTCTCAATTCACTTCCACTGTGAAGAGGACATTTCCCACCTTTGTGAATCCCAGGGAAGGCAGATTGGCCATGCTTACTTAGATTATGTTTGTGTAGTCCTTTTCCAATAACTGTCCAAGGTATGAGGCCTAATTAGTTCGAACAATGAACACTCCCCTACAATGAGATGGAGCTGTGATTTTTAGCCCCACTATGCCTACCTGAAGTAGAGAAGTGGTTTTCCACAGAGAGAAATGTTATGAATATTTACCTACAGTAATGAAGAGAAAAATATGAAGGGATTTTTTTTTTTTTAAATCAAGTCTTATAACATCCAGGCTTTTTAAATATTTTGAGGTCACAATACATGAAAATAGAGCTAGTTAAAATTTTGTTTACACATTCCCAGAAATAAATGTCCAAAAATGAAATGATCATACCACCTATTTGAGCCATACTCAGTTAATTTTGTTAGGTCTTCACATAGGCAAAGAAGAAAATGAGAAGGGAAGGATTTTAGATTAATAAAATCTCCATGATACCCAGGACTACTACTGCCAATTACTAGTTGGATGAGTTATTTAACTTCTCTATGCCTCAGTTTTCTCATGTAAAATGAAGAAATTAATAGTACCCATGTCATAGAGGTGTTTTATTTGAGGATTAAATGGGTTTACATGTGTGAAACTATTAGGCCAGAGCCTGGCACATAGTAAGCACTCAAACAATTTGTAGTTATTTCTCATTCACCCCAATATCCTTAGCTCTTAGAATGATGCCTGGAAAAAAAGTAGGTGCTTAATAAATATTAGGTGAATAAATGCAGACATTCTGATTATATCTACTATATTGTTCTGCCCTTATATTCTGTATATTAAAAAATAGTAAATACTTTAACCCCAGTATATTAAAGGAAATGGCTTTATTCCCTAACATCTCGTCTTTCCAAATGATTCGAGGTCATGATGTGTAATGAAAATTAGAACAAGTGTATTACTTTTTTAAATCTTTTATTGAACTTCATAGGTAAGAAATATTATCTTTAGGAAATAGCTTTTGGAAATAATTATTAAAGCAACTCTTAGAGATCACTGGGTTATTGGCAAAAATGATAAAGGAAGTCAAGGAGTATTTTGTGCTAAAGTATATATTTGGAAGACTTTCAAATTTTAACTTCTAATGGTTTATGTGCATTTTATTTTACTCTAAGTGCAATGTTAAACAACTAAATGTAAAACTTTTCCTGTCAAGTTACCAACATATACTTCCAGAGGTCTGACTTTCTCTAATTTTTTTAAGAGAAACACTTTTTGTTATCAGAAAAGATGCATTGCTGTATACTCTAGTTGGTCATGTCAGTTATCAAAGTTCTTTTGACATTAATATTTTGGTTTGTTTCTATTATTAGCCTACTTTTGTTTAGCTGAATGAAAAAAAGTGGATTATTCTTTTAAATGAAAAATGGTTGGTTTTTTTAGTGTTTCAGAATACACATTTTTACCTGCTAAATAATTTCATTAGAAAAATTTACACTTACGTATGCATCTTAAATATTTATATAATTAAAGAATGTAAAAATAATCTATAGTTGTGTCTTCAGGCAACAATATCCAACTTTCCCAAGGGATATGCAGGCACAGAAAGCTTTAAGGGACCCAGGGCCAGATCCTCAATTCCCCTCTGTACTCTTTGTTAAAACTGATCTGCCTTTAAAGACCACCTCCATGACCAGTGGATTATGCCAGTTCTCCATTTTTCTTCTGCCATTATGTAATCACCCTATCCCACTTAAAAAAAAAAATACCTATGGCAGTGTATTTTTCAAAAATTACCCCAATAATATTTCAGGTCTCACATACTCTTCCAGAACCTTGCCACTACCCCCATCAAGACGTGAACTTAGGTCCCTTCCCTTTGAACTTGGGTAGATCTTTCCTTCCTTTCCACCAAGGAAGTATGGTGGAAGGTAATGTATTTTCATTGTGGGTGAGATGTGGTCTTAGAAATGGGTTATATTGGCCAATGTGGAGATGTTCAGAATTTAGATGTATTGTCAAGTAGGAAGACAGAGTGATGATAGGTTTTGTATAATGACTGCTTTTTCTGTCACCTGACTATTCAAAAAACCATTTTTCCTATAATTGAGTAGTGTGAAAGTAAAGCAAAGAGAGCCTGAGGGAAAGACCCTTATTTTCAGGCAACTAATTGGAAGGTTGCTGACCTCATCTATCTTAGAATTAGAATATTCAAGCGTTATGGGTTTTGGTGAATCTGATGTCAAGCAAACTGTCTTCACCATTATCAATAATGGTAAAGAGCCTGATGAATACATCTAAAACCTGTCTGACTAGCATAATTTGCATGATTTCAAGGAGAAAGTTAAAATTAGAACAAGTGTATTACTTTTTTATTTCTGACATATTAACATTACATCTTCAAGTTGAAAGATCATATTTCAGAGGTAAGTTCATGATTTTATATTTTCTAGAGCATTTTTCAGATTCTTGGGTGAAATATTTTTATTAACCTTTGCCAGGTTCATCATTAGATTCTGTAAATTCATATTAAAATTTTACCTGGCCCAAGGCTCCTGCTTATTGTCTATGAGCTATTTATCTGCTTTTTCCATTCTTACTATACACTTAGGTTTAAAAATTAACAAGTATAGTGTGGATTTTACTGTAAATAAAACAATAGTCATCAGTAGTAGTCATAAAACATAATAGCCATCAGGATACCTTGCATAAGCCCTGAACTTACTAATGACTATCTTTTTGCTTTTAATTTCCACAGGCAAATATAATTTTTTCTAATGTAAGACATCATTATTATATGATTCACCATTATATATCACTTAGTAAAAAGAAAAGCATTGCCAACTAAACTATGTTATGCCAAAAAGAATAAACTATGATATGCCATTAATTATAAGATGCATCCTAATTTCAGAGATGTTAAAATGTGAATCATAGCTTGATAAATACCTTAAACCAGTGGTCGGCAAACTCATTAGTCAACAGAGCCAAATATCAACAGTACAACAATTGAAATTTCTTTTGAGAGCCAAATTTTTTAAACTTAAACTGTATAGGTAGGTACATTGTCATTAACTTAATTAGGGTACTCCTAAGCTGGCCTTTGCTAAAAACGTCCTCAATCTGATTGAGGTACGTTCGCTGAGGTCGACCCCTTCCAACTCTCCCATCCACACTCATCTTTTATACTTGTTTTGTCTATCTCCTTTCGTTCATCCTCTCTATATGTCCAAACCATCTCAACATACCTTTCTCAATCCTCGACACTACATCTTTCACTCCACAACGTTCCTTAAAATTAACTTAATAAACTTTACTTAAAGTTTTAAGTCAACTTCGCACTGTACGTGCGCGCCTGCACGTGGTATTTTGTGGAAGAGCCACACTCAAGGGGCCAAAGAGCCGCATGTGGCTCGCGATCCGCGGTTTGCCAACCACTGGCTTAAACAATACTTAAAAGCAGAGCATATAATTACATGTAGGTATAGGTGTAAATGTCCATAAAATGTAATCTAAGGACATAGTGCATTTAACTGTAGAAAACTACTTAAGATTAGTTCTTCCATGTCAGATATTTATATTCTCTTTTAATTTTGTAACAAACATAAATACTTTTCAAATAATAACATTTCTAAATCTCTACATAATCATCTTCAAGATATCTATGCAATTTCCAATTTTATGGGGGTATTTTTACTCAGTTTTGTCTTAATTTTCCATAAGCAAGATGATTCTAAGTGTAAGAGTTATAGGTAAGTCTTGGTAAAGCCTTTTGGTTAACATTCCAAGGAGCTAAGAAAGAAAATGGCCTGAACATCAAGGTCTCCAGTGAGTGTGTTTTTTAATTATTTGCTTCCAGCAAAATTGAAAAAAGTGTAATCAAATTGTCAATTGATGATCATTCAAAATAATGATAGATCAGTTTATGATTTTTTTTTTCAATGTCTCCCCATTCACAATACAGACCAGGCAAAGAGCCTGAGCTGAGGTGTATATGGGGCAAGTTTACTCTGCCTCCTATTTCTGTACAGTCAGTGTAAGAACACAGCCTGTGGTAAGCACCAGGAGGCCCAGTTTATGATTTTTTGGCACATAACATAAAAGGCATCCAAGAATTAAATGGCATCACTATAACAAAATTATATTCCTTTTTTATTTATATGCATGAATGAGTTCTAAGCATTTACTTTAAAAATAGTAATAAAATTGATATCTCATTCTAGCAATTAGCAATATTTACCCTTGAATATAGAGAATACAGCACCATCCATCTCATTAAGAGATACATTTTCAATAAAAATGTTTTAATAACAGTAAAATTAATATAGTTTTATTGTTTTTATCATTTGAATAGTAGTCATAAAAAATTGATTTTTTAATTCCCCCCAAATTTTTTTATTTTAATAAATATATTTTTTCATACATTCTGAGAAACAGCTGTATGACAGGGTATCAGTAAAAGACCTTCAAGCATCACTATACTAATAAAGAGAAGTAAAGTGGTATAAAATGAATTAGGAATAAAAGAGTGTAAAATTTCCTATTATTTTAAGGAGTGATAGTACATATCAGATTTCTATGATATTCAGATTCCGTTAATAATGTAATTGATTTAACTCAAAATATCACTACTGCAGAAATCACTTCCTTTGCAATTTTTGGAACTTATGATAAAAATGGTTGTATATTGACTTAAATATTTGTAAAAGGGATACTAGTATATCACTTTTCAGAATTATGTTAAAGAATATATGATTCTTAACATATATTCTTAGCAAAAATTTTAAAAATCTCAAACCAGCAGAGGGGAGAGGGAAATATAACTATCCAAGGGAAGGAGGAAAAAGGTAAAAAATGACAGCAGTAAGTCCAAGTATTTCAGTAGTGATAACCTAAAAAAAAAGTAAAATTTTCCTTTTAAAAGACTATCAGATTGGATTAGAGAAATGGAATCATTCTATTTGCTGGTTTCGAAAAGATGCATCTAAAACTAAGACTTGCCGAAACCGGTTTGGCTCAGTGGATAGAGCGTCGGCCTGCGGACTGAAAGGTCCCAGGTTCGATTCCGGTCAAGGGCATGTACCTGGGTTGCGGGCACATCCCCAGTAGGAGGTGTGCAGGAGGCAGCTGATCGATGTTTCTAACTCTCTATCCCTCTCCCTTCCTCTCTGTAAAAAATCAATAAAATATATTTAAAAAAAATAAAATAAAACTAAGACTTATGTAGAATTTGTAATGATATAGAAAGCTGGTATACAAAATAGAGATTATATATAATATGTATTTTTCCAGGTATAAACAGTGTAAAATAACTTTTTCCCCAGTTTTGTATTGATTCCAGAGAGATGAAGTGGAAGAGAGAAACTGCCATGTGAGAGAGAAACCAATCAGTTGCCTCTTGCACTGGGCTTGTGCCCTGATCTGAAATGGAACCTACTAATCTTTTAATGTCCTGTTGCTCTAAGCAACTGGGCCACCCAGCCAAGACAATAAGTTTTTTATAAATGTTCTAAATCACAAAGTCTCCGCAAATTTCACTCTGGATGGTGTGGCTCAGTTGGTTGAGCATCGTCCCATGCACCAAGAGGTCACTGGTTGGATTCCTGTCCATGGCACATACCCAGGTTGTGGGCTCAATCCCCAGTGGGGGATGTGCAGGAGACAGCCAGTCAATGGTTCTCTCTCATCGATGTTTCTCTCTCCGTCTGCCTTCCCTTCTCTCTAAAAGATCAATAAAATAAAAAATGAATTTTAAAAAAATCTGCAAATTTCAAAAATTTGATAGTTACACAGATTGTGTTTTCTGACCAAAATGTTCAATATATTTAAAAACCAAAAGTACCCTCCTTTGGAAAATGTCAGTGAAA